ACATGTGCAACTATGGCAAAAGATTAAAGTAATGTCAAAAAAGTAAACACTAAAAGCCTCATATCTTCTAAAAAATGTAATTATACATCATTTGTTTCTAAATTAAATTATACAAATATTATAACTTCCCCCAATTTTTTCCTTTTTTTCATTTAAGAATTATGTTTACGTTCAAAAACAGCCATAATTGTTGTAAAATTCATAAAAAATAATAATCTGAGTTCATACGTAGTGCTATACTGCCCTCTTGTGTTCAATATCAGGTAGGCCTATTGTGTATATTCCCACCGGTTAATCAACGTGTGACTCCGCTGGGACTTGGGAGCTTTTAAATCGCTTACTTAAAACCGAAAGTCGAAATACGGATGTCCGCACAAGACATTAATGGTGTGGAGTAGAGCGAGCATTTTAAATAAAATTCCTATTAAGTAGATTGAACTAAACAGAAAGAATGTTCACTCTGTTCTGCTGGTTCCTCGCTGGTGGATCATAATGATTACTTTGTCATAATCTATGACAAAAATGCTATTATAAACCATATTAATAATAGATAATACACATTGCTCTTATTTTTGAAAAATACATTCATGAAAAACAAGATAACAAAAATCATAAAAAAAATATAGCCATGGCTGCTATAAATGTTTTGAAATGCATAGGACAGATGTTAATGACGCCAGCAACATATAATTGAAAGGCAATTAATAATCTGTCATTACGTCACTGCATTATGATATTACGGCTCCGATACGGTGCAGCACAAAGCACTTATGTGCATCCCGAGCGGAGAATGATGTGCTTGAAGCCACATGAAGTTACAGCGCAGTGAATCCGTATTGAAAAGTTCAAAGCACAAAGGAAATACATATTTATGAACAGTGTTTATACATTATCTATCTATGCAATAGTTTATTGAGCCTTCTCTTTTAAAGGTTTAAAATTTCAGTTACTGTGTGCTGAAGAACAATTATAGTGCTCTGACTCTAGTGTTGTGATCTAACCGACAGCGTCGACACCCGGTAGAAAGTAACACGGTTAAGTTACAGCAATAAAGTCCAGCAAGAAAAAGTTTCTTCATTCGAAAATATAGACATTTAGACCTTTATCTTAAAGATCCAGTATAATAGGATTAACATTCAAATCATCTTGAAGATCGTTTCATCATTGACTGTAACCGAATGTGACGTGCTGTTTGAATGCTGAATGGAGAATGACTGACAGGCGCAGAGAGGGAAAGTTTGTGTTCTTGAATTTAATGACTTAAATATTAATTTCTATATCACATAATAGCTTCAGAACACTAATAATACAGTACACAAAAACTTTATGGTACTTTAGAAAGTTTTGTGTGCCTTTGTGCCTAACATAGAATAGTATATATGCACAATATAGAATTTGAATCAGCCTCGTCAAAGATGGCAGTGTCAGAGCCGATACCGATCCTGAGTATCTAATCGGCGCACTTCTTTTCAACAGTCAAATTGAAATTGAAATTGAAATTGCTTGAAACTCAACAGATACATCACATTTATTAGCCAGTAGACATGTGCAACGTTTCAGAAACGGGCATAGTGCAAGGACTAAATAGCGCCACCTTTTGACAAAAGTGGGGTTGTTAGTTTTATCTACAGTTACAAAAATCGCTATATACATTGTACTCCTCAAGCCGGACAACTTCTAATACATAGTCATTAGCTCGGACCAAGAGGAAGTCAGATATTTTGGTTTGATATGGTGAGCCTCTCTCTGAGCCTACATCCCTGTATGGCAAGCCCTTTTAACATTTAAAAGCTAAGTTTGCCTGTCCGGAATTAACATTGTAGATATCACAACCGTCTTTCTGTCTATTCGTAATTACATTTGGATAGTTTGTATTATCATTTAAGATATCTGTAACATAATTGTGACTAGTCGAAATGACAGAGTATGGCAAGCCGTTTTAACATTTAATCATAAAAGGGCCAAAGCCTTCGGCACCGCCACCCGGGTGCATTTAGGTAACTAAAGGAACCGGGGTTGCGGTGCCACCGGCTTGGGCCCGCCATCGCTGCTCGCAGCTATATTTATGATTGTTAGTCTGTGTGTATGAGGCCCCGTTTACACGAGAACGATTCCGGGTGAAAACGTAAAAATATTTTATCGGATGTGCCTTTCGTTTACACGGCGAGGCTTTTTTGAGGCTTAAAAATGCAAAAAAGTGAAACCAC